TAGTGGTGGCCTTGGCACTGCTGGGGAACAGGATTCTAAGGCTTCAGTTAAGACCAGCACAAGGGAAAGGTCTCCACTGGCAAGCTGATGGCTCACAGGGTTACATTGTGACTCTCGAGCAATTCTATCTGCAGCACACACCTTCGGTTGTGGTAACCAGATTAGTTTTGCTTGTTCGGGATGCGAGTGGAGCTGTTCCCCCTCACTGCCCTTCTCTGAATGCAGGATGACGAGGCCACTTCCCTTAAAGGCTCCAATACCCTCATGTTCCACTTCAATTCACACCCATCAGCTCAACAGCACTGGAGACCTCTCCTGCTACAAGGAAGCAAACAGCTCTTTGGCAAACCCTTCCCAACCAGTTTCGGAAGAACACAACTGAACAGCTGTAAGTATCCTAAAAGTTTATTGCTGCCCCACTAGTAAAGGCGCTGGGGCTTCCCCATGGTGCTCTTGATGTACAGAGCACGCACGTTCTGCCAGTTCTTCTTCAGCAAGGACACCAAGAAGTTGATGGCCAGGTGGATGTTGTAGACAAGTTCATCCTCTGTCATCTTCACATGACCGACGGCCACAGCCAGACAGAGCACCTGAGGGACAAGGACACCACGGTCACTGATGTAGGCAAGAGGTTTTGTGTGGAAAATCAAAGATTACAGCAAAGTGATTAACAAAACAGCTGATGTGAACCAAGTGCAGTATCCAATTCCCTTGTGCTTTGTCCACTGGACAGGACTTCTCCACCTTATCTATGGCTGTTTCCACAGAGCTCTTAGTGTTTGGCACATGGCTCCCATGAACACGGCTGGTAGCATCTGAATGCCACCTCTGAACAGCACCTCGCTGCCCCAGAGCACAAAGGGGACTTGGAGAAGGGAAGGAACACCAGTGCCTCGCAGAGATGGGAAAACTGGAAACGACACGTAACACATTGTGCCAAAGGGGCACTACAGTGGGAGCCGACCTCTGCTTTAACCATGCTCCCACCCCCTGCTCATGGAACAGTGTGGAATGTGCAAACCTCTAACACCACAGAGAACAGACTGCTAGCTCCAAACTTCACTGTGAAGCACAGCCCAGCTTCACTTTTTCTCTTGGGCACCAGCCCTTTCTTTCCACACACAAGAGGCTGAGCAGCCTCTGCCTGCCAGGCTGGATGAGGAGCTTGTAAGTCAACGTTCCCCACAGGCTGAAGACAAAGGGATTTACGAGCAAGCTGACAGACAAAGTGTCACGACATCATCAGCTCGATTACTTCAAATGCTCCAGCATTTGCAAACTATCACATTTGCTGTGCCCTCCCAGTTGTTGTGCCCCCAGGCCCACACCAGCTTGAGTTCAAGGGTGCACCTCAGCAAGCAGAGCTGTTAATTCCGAGTAACACCCATGAGTCACACTTCGACCACTGAGACAAGATAAAACAGGGTTATTTTGGTTTTGGGAAGTCAACTCGCCATGGCACCTCTTGACAGCAAGAGCAGACATCCACAGGGCTGCTCCAGAGCTCACTTGCAGAGCCAAGTCCCAAACCCACTTCTGGCAAAGCACTGCTGAGTGCGCAGACCCACGGGGGCTGCACCCCGCAAGTGTCACCCACTTGCTGTAAGAAGTGCTAATTATGACTGTGCTCTGCATTGAGACATCAAGATCATCTCATCATCATCTGCTCTCAGATCTTTCAGCCACAGATGAATGATGTCTCCTTTCTAGGCAGCAGCTGAGGGTGTCTCATGGCCACCAGGCGCTGTTTTAGGAAGACACTTGAGGGACACCTACAGCCCAGCCCAGAGATCGCAGCCATGCCCGAGTGACCACCCCAGCACAGGCAGGAAGCTGCCTTGGAGAGGAAAAGCTCTGCTTTACCTTCTTCATCTGAAACTTGATGGTAGATTTGACCTCATCGACCTTGGCCACCAGGTTCTCATTGTGAGTGAGAAGAGAAGGGAATTTGCCAGCTTTGTTCAGCCCTGGTCCCAGGATTCGAGGAATCTGCTTGATCAGGGACTCTGAAGCCAGGAAGGCGTCGTACTTCTTGGCTGCGAGGAAAGGACCAACGTGGGTAAGGATGGGCTCCCACCTCTGACATCGAACTTGAGACTCTGCTGCTCCAGCTCCTTCTGAGTCCTGCCTACTTGAGCCCAACCTGGTTTTCCTATTACTGTATCAGAATTTACCCTTGTCACAACAGCCAGAGCCACCAGCACCCAGCTTCATACCCTGACAGCACATTTAACTGTGCCCAGCTCATTTCTCTGAAGAAAGTGGCATTTATTGAGCCACAGGTAACCAACAGTTAACTCTGAGCTCCTCCAGGAGCCTCCCACCACAGCCTGGGCACATCTGGACGGGCAGATGTATCACACACCTTGGAGGGGCTGAGCTAGCAGCTATGGTATCCCATCTCATTTCCGTATTATGTACAATTCCATGGCTAATAAAAGATTAAGTGGGAAGTTTTTCTTGCCTGCTCAAGATATGTATCATTCTGACTTTGACTTTACAGGGAGGGAAGGATTTTATCTCTGGGTAAGTGAAAATAACCAAATTTCATTCCCTTGATGTAAATACCGCAGGACTAAATCCAACTTTTGCCTCCAGCTTCCCAACCAGGAAAGGGAGGAACACCAAGTAAAGCTGATACTTCAAAGACAGGAACACTTTCCTGTATTCCTTCCTTCCAGGAGGGTTGACCTGTCACACCTCCTGCACTGGTAACTGTTGGCTTTTCAGGGTACTTTCTAGCAGACTGCTGTACTTCAGCCTGACTCTGCTCAGCTTCCTATTCCCTGCCCTTAACCACGACATGGAAATCTGAGCACAGGGAAAACCATCTTGCTTACCCAGCCCTCCCAAGTCAGCCAGGGCACTGTGAGCCCGACCCACACCACCACTAACCCAGCTTCTTCACCAGCTTCTTGTTTTTGTTCAGCTTTTTCAAAGCTTCTATGTCCATGTGAGGGATGTCAACTGCCTTGGCCTCATCGCAGTGCTGCTGGTCCCCCAGCAGGCAGACAGAGAACTTGGGCCGTGGAGTTGACTTCAGCCTGGAGACAAAAGGTCTGAATTACTATAAACCACCAGCACCACACACCCTTCCATGGGAGCCAACACAAGAGGTACCTTACCACAGTGCCTGGACCTCTTCCTTCACAGCTTCTTACCTGCCTTCCCCAGCAGGTCGGTGGGGACAGCACCCACCTCCCCTCATGTT